CCCTAGGCTGCTGATGTCATGCCTCTCTCCCTATCTGGCCAGTAGGAAAACTTCTTTAGAGTCTCATGATCAGAGATATTGCAACAGCTAGGCCCCTAGAAACAGATCTGTCACTTACGTCTCAGTGTTCTCCTTCTGTAATACGCTAAAGCTTAGGGGGCAGGGGACAATGTCAGGGAAGTTCAAGTGTAGCCTCCTGCTACCACGACTCCCTCTGCTATTCAAGCAGTAATCGATAATCCACTGCTCCCACAGACATTCAGACAATATTCAATAACCAATAATCAATAACCAGACCTGAACTTCCACATCTCTTTACAGGTTCTGAGGTGCCATTCTAAGCCAACTTCCTTCAGGGACTCTTGGTCCCCTGCACTGGTTGTAGATGCTTGAACAGAATATGTGGACCAGATTTCATGTCTCTTCTACAGATATCCTGAGTTCCATGCAAGGTATGCGTCTGGTGTCCGTTGTGGTGTTTCAGTGCATTCTGTGAGGGCTACAAAGTTCCTGGAACATTCTGTGACAGGAAGTTGTGATATTAGGGGCATACAGAAGACATCAAATCATGTTTCAGCCTTGACCTGGTGAAAAATATTTCTTAAAGCAGCTAGTGTCTACCACACAATAAACTCTCAGTAAATGTAATACTTGTTTTTTGTCTTTTTTGCTTTGCAAAAAAAAAAAAAAAAAAAATTTGACATACTTGCTAGACGTTGACTATAAAACACATTTTATCTTTATGCCAAGCTAACTTTTTTACAATGGTTTGCACAGTGGTTTCCCAGGGTGAGAGGAATGGGAAATGGGGGCGGGGGCGAGGGTAATGGAATCTCAAAAAACAAACAAACAATCAAAAAAATCAAGCAATCTGCTTCAAAAGTCTGGGCTCTTAACTTTTGGGCCTAAAGTTATCTTTATTGACAACATAAACCTACTGATTAGTACAATATAAAATAAATATGGTTTTAATACCCAGAGAGGAAAAAGGTTAGGTGAAAAGAATCCCGTGAAGAAGCCTGGCTGAATGAGGCTCGATGATAAATGGATTGGTAACATGTTGTAAGAGGTTTCAATATCAGTTTCTGCTGAGTGTTCTTGTACATTCCAGGTCGATCGTTCTCTCATTGCTGCTGCCCATCACAGACAAAGCTGGGGTACAGATGTCAGAGTGGGATTCAAGAACACGTTCATTACATTGCTGTTCTATGTCACTAAGTTAACATTTCAAAAATGGCCAAATAGAACTTCAGACTTAATTTCTCAAGGAAACAATCTTCATGTCCTGAAAACATCTCAGTTAGGTGAAAGGTGCTCCATATAGTTGAAAGCTGAAAAGCAGAAAACTTTCATTTTTCTTGCCTTTTTCAAAACATCTCGCCGTTGATTTCTGAAGCCAGTGCGAAAGAAAAAGGGGCTATGCAATTAATTTGACAAGCACAAGGGAGCCACGTGGCAGGTTCAAAACTCAGAGATGGAAAGTAACCACACAGGATGGTCTGATCATAAATTTCTAAATGGGCAGGCTGTGGTGGGTGGTCTTATCCCAGGCCTACAGCTTCCTTAGCAAAGGTCAATCTTTACCTTAAGTGAGCTCTGTCTGTTGTCCTAATGTATCTAGAATAAAATGTCTGAAATATCAGCATAATTTTCTTTTCCTATCCCTCAAAGGCACAACTGCCAACAGAGCAGGAGAGCACAGAACCCTCCCTCCCCGCATTGTTATCTTGTTCCCTAATTCCACCTCTGTGCTGTAAATGTTAATTGTTAACTATCTCAAACCCCGACCCCGATGTATGTGTGCCTGCACTTTGCCTTTCATCCGATCCTAAAGATTTTTCTCCTATGCTTTCTCCTGCCTCCTTAACTTGACACCAATGGATTACATACAACCCTACTCAAGCTTCCTTTGATACTAATGTAAAATAAGCTGCAAAACTGCCATTGCGCAGAGCATTTCCAAAATCTGTTGAGATTTTGCTTCCCAGCATATGTTGTCATTTTGGCTCAAGTAAACTAAAACAAAACAAAACAAAACAAAAACATACAGGTTTGGACATTTCTTTTGTTGTGTCAACACTGGCCAATAAATGGCTGTGATGACGGGTGGGCCCCCTGCTGGCCATTTACTAAGTATTAAGTGAATTGGAGGCCTATAGGCAGGGCCTTGGCTTTGCCTGTGTAAACTTTCTTAAATTACCAAGACAGTCAGTTCTTTGATAATGATAGTTTTCAGGTGGTAAATAACCCTGGCATTATTCCCAAAGGTCACTTCAATTCACTTGGGTTTCTTGTGTGCAGCCATCAATTAGAAATGGTATTATGAAAAGTCATACACGCTCTATTTGTCTTTGTTTTTTGAGAAGGATTTCATTCCTCAGGTCTCCTTTCCTAATCTCTCAAAAAGCTTTTATTTGGAAACTTGAATATATCTGTGACAATTATAATTTTTAAAGTGCCCACAATTACACGTTTCTCAAGAAACAATTCTTTACATTTTTCTTTTGTTCTCACCCAGCAGATGGTGCTAGTTCCTTACATTTCTTGAAGACAACTTCTGAACGAACTCCTTACAGTAGGTTTGAGGTACCTGTATTCATATTTAAATTTGCAAACTTCTGTTTATTCAAGACACTCTAATGCAATAAGGAATTTTATAAGTTCAGCAAAACTCAGCTAAACAGCTCTTCGGTGAGAGACAGCTGTCACCGCTTCTAGCTGGGAGAGCCAGGGCCTCTCTGGGGCAAAACACACTCCTTTTCAGACTAGTGGGAGTTATGGGAAAATGAGGGGAGTGAGAAAGTGAGAGTGAAGGGAATAAATCTCTGCATTTTTCCCTCTCTGGTTGTTTGCTCTGGCTTAGAGCTGGGAGTTCTTAAGTGAGAGGAACCCAAAGAGAGGGGAGGTATCTGTCATCCTCCTTCTCACTATTTGAGTCTCTGGAGGAGGCACACATGCTGGCTGCCATATACCAAAGTGATGCTATTTCTCTCTGACTAATTCACATTCAGTGTATTCTCTTCATTTCCCTCACTGCCTGATGTGAAGACATTGTTTCTCCATTGTACATTTTCTTGTTAAAAAGCAATACAGAAAAAAATATTTATTTTCATAGCTTCTTTTTAGCCAATGTTTTCAATTCCCAACTCTTATCAGCAGGCTCGTTTTCCTAGAACTTAAAATACTTTGAAAGCCAATTATGAATCCTTTTGTTACATTTTTCATTTATTTGTTTTGGCTTTATGTTTTGTTGTTTTTGTTGTTCTTTTTGTCAGACTTTTTTTTTTCTACAAATAATGTCCTATCTTCTAATCTAGGTCTTTCTTTGACTTCAATTTTCTTGTGAATTTTTTCTGAATATTGTTTTGGTACATGAATTCATTATGAAATAAAAATAGTGGGGTTTTTTTTGGTACTTAAAAATCAGATAAATCTATTATCTGCTATGAACTAATTAGAATGCAATCACTCCTTTTCTCTACATTTTAAATTCTTTCTAGTGTAATAGTTATCCATTTTAAATCTCAATGTTATTTTGAAATATAATTATTCAGCATTGTTATTTATGTCTATTTCAATTACTAGATTGTAAATTCCTTGAAGAATAGGCTTCACTAATTTTCCTTTACCCACCACCCATTTTCTTAAGTATTATTGGATAATGAGAATAAAATAAGTTTAGGCATTTATTCATATTATTTCTCATCACTTCTGGTTTCTGTATGGAGGCACTTTAAGTAATTTTATTAAACCTACTAAAATTTTTAAAAATATTATTTTTTTATTGTAAGCAGAATTGAGTGGGGTGTGCATAATGTTGGAAATTAATCTAGAAAAGGAATTTTGGTCTATTTTCTATACATGGACTTCAATATTCTCTCAAGTATAGATTAAATATTTTAGTGTATTTGTTAGTGTGAATGAAAGATTATCCAAAACCCTTTCCTTTCATGGGGAGAAAGAGTAAAAAAATACAAATTGGTTTATTGAAGATGATTAGAATTCTACAACTAAATAAAAAAAAAAAACCCTACTCTTATTACTAAGCAGTGTAAACTAGCTCTCATATATAAAGAATAAAGTTACTGATGTAAGAAACATCCAAAACCTGTAGTGGATTTTTATGAATTTACTTGAGCCAAGTTAACAACAAATGGCAGGAAGCAAAATTTCAAGGAATTGAAAAAATGCTCCATACAATGGCAGTTTTACAGCTTATTTTATACATTAGAATTAAAGGGGGTTACATGATATTTATTGGTGGTAGATTAGGGAGAAACCAAAGTGGAGAAAATCTCTGAGATTGTATAAGGATGCTTCTTTTACATTGCTGGGTACAGAATAGATAATAATTAGCATTTACAGCAGTTAGAGATGATATTCGAAGAAGAAAATAATGAGCTGCTCTGTGGTCTGTGTCCTGGCGTATGTGCCCTGAGGGTTCTAGAAGAGGAGATTACTCTGACATTTCAAAGATATGTTGTTATCTTAGATGCAAAAAGACAATAGAAAGGCTCACTTTAGGTAAAGATTGTTAGTCAAGAAAGCTACAGGTCTAGGATGTGACTGCCTGGACAGACTGCTTTTACTTAGGAATTTTAATGCTCAGACCATCCTATGTGGTTTTTTTTTTCTGTCTCTAAGTTTGTAAGGCTGCCACACAAGCCTCTCCTGAGCTTTTCGGGTTTAATATGTGGCCCATCTTTTGTCCACAATGTTAACAAATCAAAGTATTATCTCTACTTGACATCACCAATTTTATTGCATGTTTGATTTATAAATACAAAGGGTTTGGCAAAAGTAGGTTTACAGTTGTGAGTTTGAGAAACACAGGGTTCATCCTTGTATTATTATTTATTAATATTGTATTATTTTACATATGTACAACTGTAAACCTACTTTTGACACACTTTGTATATTTTGAAATTTCATATTTCTCCATTTTATAGGCTAAATAGAAATATGAATTTTTTCTTTCTTTTCTATTTTTTTAAAATTTTACTCAGATGGTGTCCTCGTCCTCTTGCTCTCCCAGAGCAGGACAAGATGGATCACCAATGAAAATGGCGGCTGCAATAGCAACACCAAGAACCAGCTTCACGCTCAGGAGAGAAGAACGCTGTGCTTCCTCCTCCTTGTGGTTTCTAGTATGCTATGCATTCGGAGGAACTTCTGTAGTAACAAACTAGAGAAATGATTCCTTGAAATTTCTGTTTTTAGTATTATATTTTTCCAGAGTCTACATAGGCCAATTGCTACATATGTAGGGTGTCCATATAACCTATTGTCTTAATTGGGAAAGCTTTGAGAATTAAAAGTTGCTGTACTAATAATCACCTGAGGGCATGTAGACAAATCGTGACTGTACCCAGAAAACTGGAATGTTTGGTTACCCAACAGATAAATGGTAAGAGAATACATTTTTCCCCCTGTGGTTTTTGTGTCCTGGAGGGGAAGGAATTTAAAGCATAGTAAGGAAGAAGCAGCTGTAGTTATCTTTTCTCTGCCTCTTCAATTTCTCCCCTGGGGACAAAGTAACTTAGCTGATCGGTAAAATTGGGAAAAGAAACAGAGCATGTAATCTCCAAAGCAGCCAATGTAATGCTTGATATTTTCAAAAATAAAGATTCCCTAGGTGCTTGTTGCAGAAATGTCTGGTATTATGTAAAACAATCATCACTTCTTTTGCCCTATAATTCTAATTTTAAATGTCCATATGGACTTTTGGAAAATTAAATTTAAACATATTTTTCTCTTCATTGTGGCTCCCTGTACTGTAAATCTTTTCATAATCTCCAGGTAGAATGAATTTTTAAAAAAGAGGAAAGCCTTCTTTTCATTTTTATGTATCATCTAAAGATGACTTTTCTGAGAATCCTCTCTTTAATTAAATTTAAATTGAACTTTTGCCCTTTTGCATCCACTAACATAGTGCTTTTATTAGATAATAATTAGATAATAAACATCTATTAGATAGTAAATCAAGTTGGATCTATTTTATTTTATATATTCTTGTGTTATATTTATTATTAATCTATATTTTAAAATCTCACCCAAATTTTAAAGACCAACTTGGGAAGTTTTTGTTTCATTTTTTTCTTTTTTTAAGACTTCCTTACAAAAGAGTACAGCTTAAGTATATGTTATTTTTGAGTACGTTATAGTCCTTTCTATGGCACTGAATCTTTAACTTTCAAGACAGAAACAAAAGATGCTAAAAGCAAAAGTAAATATTAACAAATATCTATTTTTCAATTGCTTGAAAAAATATGGTTTAATGAATACTCATGAAAGATACAGTATCATTTCAAATATATTTTTTAGATTATGAAACATCTACAATTGTATACTATTATAGTAGCCAGCATTACCCCATCTCTTAAATCTGTCAAAACTGACCCGCCTAGTATCTCAGAGCTAAAAGACACCAAAATCTACACCTGATTATTACTATGGCTTTGAGCTAGTATCAGTCTGTTCTTTGAGCTTCTTAGGGGTAAATTCAGTTGAGTATTTGACGATGGGAGGCCTGTTCCATCTGGGCATCCACTGATGAGGAGGAATCCTCCCTCCACTCTGGGTGAAGTAGCTTTGGAGAGAGATATCAAGAGGGCGCAGAGGCTGTACTGGAGCCTAAAGAATGCTACCTTCACTAAGTTGATTTACTCAGAAATCCCTTTGTATTTTGAGGTTGCTCTACTGAAAGTCATTGCTCAGCATCTTACTGTCTTGGGCAAATTGTCTTGTCTTGGTTCTCATCTCCCACAGCGCATCGTCTTCCTTAAGTGTTTACAGTTGCTTAAGAACCGTACTCTCCTCCCAATTCTCTCAATGACTTTTGTTTTTTCTTTCTGTTTTTGGATATTTTCTGTCCTTAAATTAGAAGTGATTTTCAAACTTCTCTCTTCAAGTTTCTCTCATTTCTTCTCTGTCAGTCATTTCCTCATTTGTATCAACCAACCCCTCGACCCAGATTCCCAATTCTACATTTTCTAGAAAAATCTCTAACTGCCTGCTAGGCATTTCCATGTTGGTATATCTACCCCTCAAAAAGTAAAGTCTGTTACCATTTGGACAGAACCTTTGTCCTTTTCCTCATATCTTTCCTGTTGTCATTCATCCCATTTGGAATCCATTTGCAATTTCAGCCTGTTCAACTTCTGCTTATACTTCAAGCCTTAAATATCACTTCCAGCTTAAAGCTTAGCCAGATTTTCTTACCCACATTTGATGTCTTCATGTTTTGAACTCACATGACACTCTGGGTATATCTGGGCATCAGATTTTACTCCTTATGATGTGTAGGTTATTTCATGCCTGTTTTATCTTTATATATAGTTCACAATTTACTCCCACTTACTATAGTATCTATGTTTAAAAAAAAACCATAACTGTCTGCCTTCTGTGACTGGGCTGATTATCCTCACAAACCACCACCACTAGATGTGAAGCACAGTAATACATGGCATATATGACACGACAGTTTTTTTAAAGAAATGTATGGTGAGTGTGGTTATGCACATATGTTGCCTGACTTTACCCTCCATCGAGGATAAATGCTTCATGTGTGTAGCAATACCACAAATCCCAGTGGAGACCCCTCACATGTGATTAGCAGGAAGTCTAAGTTTTTGACTTAATTGCCATCTCCAAATTTTACTTTGTGGAGTCCTAAAGGAAGGGAGAATATTCTCATTTAATGAGAACTTTACAGCCTTTCGGCCCAGGTGTCTACTGCTGTTGCTTTGAGACCCATTGTCACGGTGAGCTAAATGGTTTTGTTCCAGCCCTTTTCTCTGTGGCTACCAACCTACCTCAGACCACTTAATACAATCCTCTTAATCGCCCCCCAACCCAAGTGCTGGAAAGCTTGCTATTTCTCTCAATTCCATGAGGAAATTGTAAGTCTCTATAGCAGTAGGAAAGAAAGTGCTTTGTTCTATATCCCAGTTCTCTTTTATCCCGAGCATACAGGCTCTTGAAAGGAGTTGCCATGGAGGGATCAGGAGATTGTCAAGCCCAGTCTCACACTGGTACCTATTCTTGCCAATTTTTGGACGCTAGAGCTCAATCTTCCTACCTGTGAAGAATATTACACTTCTTTTGTAATCTCCCTCCAGTAATCTCCCTCCAGCCCCCTCTCCTTCCGGGAACCTGAAGATTCACATTTTCTCCCTGGGCTCCATGAAAATCAGATGGTAGTCTGGACTTCCCCTCCAGTGTCCCTGAACATTCTCCCGTGTAGGGATCTTCAGGAGGAAATCACAGAGCCTAGCTGTTTGGACTGCCTGATGCCCCCTCTGGTGGAGCAGAGTCTCTGCTCTGACCCCTACAAACACGGACGTGCATGTGGAGAATTGCCCTTATGACTCACAGAAAAATGTTACTTTTTGGGTAATCAAAAATACAATTAATTTTAATTTTTCTTTATATTTTTCTATATTTAATGCAATTATCATTGATTAATTTTATTTAAAAACAGCCTCTTTTTAAAAACAAACAAACAAAAATAGCACTCATGCCCTTCTGCCTGGTATTTTAATTAGGATATATATATTTGCCCTACCTCCATCCCCATTCTGTGCACTCACACATAGATGTGTGAGTATATGCATACACAGATGCATACAATGCACATACACCCCCCTATACACATTAGACTTTGAGCTTCTTAGGCATAGGGGATGTTCAAGCACAGAGCCGAGAATGTGTTAAACTGTCAATGTTTGTTAAATAAATCATAGTGTTAGGATCTCTATAAATCTTGGTCCAATGGGCTGAATGTAGTGTCCCTCCCCCAAATTCATATATTGGGAGTATGAATTTGGAGATGGGAGTACGGTATTAGGAGGTGGAGATTTTGGGAGGTGACTAGGTCATGTGTGGGATTAGTGCCCTTGTAAAACAGACCTGAGAGGGTTTTTTCTTCCTTTTTTTCTCCCTGTGAGGATACAACAAGCAGATGAAGATGGCGTTCTGCAATCCGGAAGTGGGCCCTGACCACAAGCTGACCGAGGTGGCCTCCTGATCTTGGACTTCCAAGCCTCCACAACTGTGAGAAATGAATCTGCTCTTTATAAGCCACACAGTCTATGGCACTTTGTTACAGCTGTTGGAATTTACTAAGGTACTTGATTTAGCTGAGACATTGATCTCTTTACATCAGTGGATTCTTACCGAGCACTTAGAATTCTTTTGCCTCACGCATAACGATTTTACAAATTATAAATGCAATCTAGTCTCACTTCCAAGGGTGACGGTGAGTTTCCTAAGCAGGGTCTCAGAGACAAGCCACTCCTTAATCTCCTGCCTCAGGACAGCAGGAAGCAGCCGGAGCAGTGCTGTGAAGCAACTGGCAATGTGGAGAAGACAGAAATCCATTTACTTGGGTCTCTTATATTTTAATAAACATTAATACATTTCCTTTGTCGTGGTCTTGTACAAGTTTTTAATTTTCTTTTTAATTATGCTTTCTAGTTGTTTGCTGCTAGTGCATAAAAATATGTCTGACTTTTATCTACTAATCTTATATCTAGCTATCTGTTAAACTCTCCTATTATTTCAAATAATTTATAGATCCTTTTGAGTTTTCTATGTAAGCAATATGTTTTCTAAAAATGGCCATTTAACTTTATTTTTCCTAATTCTTATATTAGTAAAAGAAAGAGAGTAAATGAAAGTATGCTATTGTAAGGTTATTGCATTTGTCAAGTATAAAGTATAAAATATAAAATGAAAGTTAAAATATGGGAAGCAGAAAGTGTCAGGTATGAAATGTGAAGTGTGAATAGCAACAATATTTACTGTGAATAGATTAATTAATTAAGTAATCATTTTGATAGTCCTAGAATAACCATTAATGACATAATAAAAAGAAGTATAACTCTTCCAGTGTAGATGGAGGTGTAGGTAAACACGCTTTGCCGGCTTGCACAACCAGAGAAAGAATTACAACCAGGTCTCAAAATTAGTAACGTCCAGAACTGTCAGAAAATCAAGATGTATGGAAGTCTGACAACCAAGGATTTAAAGAAGACTCATTCATCCAGAAGGGTCGGAGGGTTGGAGTCTCTGAGATGGGTGGAGAGGCAGTGTGGTGGCAGAACGAAAAGGAGGGATACCTTGGGAGTAAGAGATCCCAGGCCCAGGCCAGGCCACTCAGCCCAGAGTTCCAGCACCAAGAAGATAGATCCCTATTACCTCTGGCTGTAAAAAC